ATTATAAACAGCAATGATATTGAAAATTATCCAGTCAAAAGAAAGAAACAAAGAATAAAAGAAATAAATTTAAAAAAAAAATAATAATAATAAATAAATAAAATAAATAAATCAATAAATAAAAATAAATAAACATGTGGCAAAATAAACCCTAAAATACTACTATTACTATCAACTAATTAATAATATTATGCCAGTTTTTTATGGCATCATGCTAACGGCTTATATGCGCTTATACATTATTACGCAGATCACTGGATCAAACACAGATGGAACACTACTCATTTTCCTGGGGAAGAATTTCAAAATATTGTTGCTACTTTTTCACAACACATATTAGAGTTCAAGTCTACCAGGTTACCCACTTATACACCTTTGTTTGTTTGTTTGTTTATTCGGTACTCAAAAATTCACAAAGAACAAAGAACAATGATAAAGTACCAGGATAACCCATAAAGCTGAAAAACAGCTTAATTCCAATGGGGTCCCATAAACAATCAAGTTCATAAAAAAAAAACAAATCATGGTTTTTGCACATTTCCAAGGTGAGTCTTTACCGCACGTTTAAATTCGTTTAGTTTGTTAATACACTTAATGTTTGATAGTAGACCATTCCAGTCTTTGATAGTATTGTAATAAAACGTTTTCGAAGCTAGGCCTTTAATATTTGGAATTACAAAATTGTCATTGGAAATTCTAGTTCTATAACAATGTTGTTGAGAAATCTTTATAAAATTATCAGCTAAATAAGGAGCATCCATATTATTGAAAATTTTAAAAGCATGAACCAGCCTAAGAAATTTAACCCTATCACTTATATTAAGATATCCAAGTAAGGAAAGTTCTTTCTGTCCGATATGTGCTCTTGGGGCGAGGTCCAGAATAAACCTTACGATCTTATTTTGAGTAACTTGTAGTTTATTTTTTAGAGAAACACTTATGCCAACATACCAGGCAGAGGCAGCATAGTCGAAAATACATTGGATTAGGGCAGAGCATAAAAGTTTACGACTTTCCCTGTCCAAGCAGCTAGCCTGCCTGTACATGAATTTTAATCTGGAGTTAGCTTTCTTAATTATAGTATTAACATATTCATCATTTGAGACACAATTATCAATATGTAAACCAAGGTACTTAATGGAAACTCGAAACTCGGCTATGTATGATCTGTCCATTATAATTTATGTTGAAATCTTGAATAGTGTTTATTTTCCTTTTAGATCCGAAAATAATGCACTCCGTTTTATGTGGATGCATCGATAACTTATTCTCCACCAGCCATTTGTTGCATAGTTCCATATTGTACCCTAGTTTATTGGAAATGTACAATGGGTCACGATGAGCTAACAAAATGGCGCTGTCATCTGCATATAATAAGAGTTTACATTCATTATTTATACATATTGACATATCATTAATGTAACAATTAAAGAGGAGCGGACCTAATATGCTTCCTTGTGGAACTCCATGGGTACATTCTAGGGGTTCAGAGAAGGTACCATCAATACAAACAATCTGTTTTCTATTAGACAAATAAGATTTGAACCATTCGACCGACCCAACCCCCATGGCTACTAATTTTTTACACAGAATATTGTGATCGACTGTATCGAAAGCTTTTTGTAGGTCTAGCATGACCATACCGATGTAATTACCTTTCGAAATCTGCGTTCTAATAAAATCGTTTAGATGAATGAGGATTGAGTCGGTAGAAAACGCTCTTCTAAAACCACTTTGAAATTTATAAAGCAAATTATTTTCAAACAAGTACTTTTCAAATTGATTAAAAATCATTTTTTCAAGGATTTTGGACACACTACCTAAAATACTTATGGGCCTGTAATTTTTCACATCATCTTTTGATCCCTTTTTGTGGAGAGGTAAAACCTTCGCAATTTTCATATCATTGGGGACTTCATTTTTACTGATAGATAAGTTTATGATATAAGTTACAGGTTTCTTTAGAATAGTCGCACCATCTCTTAAAAATCTGGCTGGAAGATTATCAAGTCCTGGCCCTTTATTCGGGTTAAGTTTGATGAGTTCATCTAGTATGCTCTCTTCATTAACTTCGGACAGGATAAACGTGCTTGGCAAAACATTTCTGGAGTTAAAAAGATTTAAAAAGCTCAGAGCTAGTATCAAAAATAGAATTATTGCACAATGGCATTTCAGACACAAGCTTAGAGGCAATACTTGTAAAAAAGGAATTGAAATTATTAGCTATAGTACAATTATTAAAACATGCGTTACCATCAATATTTAAAAACACTTTATTTCTTTCCTTACTCTTGGTGCTATATCCAAAGTTCTTAAGGTATTTCCAAAGTTTTTTTGGATTATTTTTGTTTTCTTTTATTTTATCGCGATAGAAATTAGATTTTGCTTTCTTAATGTCCCTTTGAACTTTATTTCTCAACAAACAATATTGTTTATAAAGTTAAGTTTCCTTAGTATTTAAACTGAATTTCTTTAAAATTTTGTTTCTTTTCTTAATGTTTTCTAGAATTTCCGAAGTGAACCAGGGTTCAGATTTATTTTTTATTCTCACTTCCTTAAAAGGAGCAACTTGCTCAATAATACTAAGCAACTTATCTTTAAACTTACACCAAGCCCGATTTACATCCGGAATACACATTATTTCGTTCCAATTTGTAGTCTTAAGTTTTAAATTAAAATTGTTAATGTTATATTTCTTAAGTGATCTAATCTTGAGAGTTTTATGGGTATTATATTTAAATTTAATTTTGTTCCTAGTACAATATATAAGGCAGTGATCACTCAGACCAACTGGAATGACACCGCTCTGACAAATAAAGTCTTTGGAATTACATAGGATATGATCAATTGCAGAAGAAGTTAAATTGGTAATGCGGGTAGGATCTTTAATTATATTTACAAAACTAAGAGAATTCAGAGCATCATTATATTTTTTATAGGATCGGTCTTCTTTAATAGAACAAAAATTAAAATCGCCTAAAATAATTGATTCTAAATCGGGCCTAATTTTTTTAACAGTATCTTCAAACACCTCAATGAAATTAAGTTGATTCGGTGGACGATAGCAACAACCGACAACAATTGGACTGACTTAGGCAGACGGAATTCAACCCAAATAGCTTCTAAGTCGGAAGAGATTAAATCCGTCCTATTTACAAAACATAAATTGTTCTTAAGATACATACAGACACCACCACCATTACGGCTACGGTCTTTTCGGATGATAGAATAACCCGGAACCAGAATTTCTGCATCGTCAACAGTCTCGTCCAACCAAGTTTCGGTAATGGCAAAAACAGCGGGGTTAGTTGAATTTGATATTAGCTTTATTTCGTCAAGCTTTGGAAGTAGGCTACGCACATTGAGGTGGATTAAGTGGGCACCTTTACTTCTTAGGCACTGGAAGGGATCCAGTTCAATTACCGACGTAGTTTGGTTTCTTAGACTAGATACCGACATGGCTGGTTCTCGGTCGCTTTCATTAACTACTGACGCTAGTTCTTCAGCATTACTTGTCTTATAAGCTTCGTTGGCGTTAGGTATGCTTGAGTTATCACGTGTGCTATTGTATTCGTTTTGTACTATCTTGTTACGTAATACCCGTGTAGGATGCATCCATTCCTCCTGTGTTGTTATGCAAATTAGGCTGGAACTCCTCTGTGTCGGCTTATGTTTAAAAATGGCGATTCTTGGTGTAATTCTAACAGGAATAGATCGAATTTTTTTAGTTCCCGCACTACATCCCCGTATAGTGCCCTTTTCAATCCCAATATCTTTAAGTGTGTTCCAAATGTTACTAGCAATACGAGTACGTACCATCTTAAGTCCAATTTCAAACAGTTTGAGAGACGAGTATTGCAGCGGCATTCTGGTCACTCAGAAACTGTTTACCGCTTGAGTTAGAATGACGAAAAATCAAAATGGCAGTCCTAGCGAAGTGGGTCAATTCAAGATGAAATAAAAATTGAAAAATGTGCAACAACCAGGAAATATCAAAAATCGAAAAACAGGAACACAACAATAATCACCAAACAGGAGCAAAACACAAATATCACAAAGGTCTCACAAATGTAATACTTAGCAAAAAGGCAAAATTTATGGAGACGACACCACAACAGTGTCTTGCAGCGAGGAGCGCAGTTTATCAGTATGGTGGAGAGAAACAACCCTAGAAGTGGTTTTCTCCAAGGACACAAGGAAATGCAGAGCAAGTGGTTCAAGCTTTGTACCTGAATTTTAAAAGCCTAAATCGCAAGTGCTGTTCCAACCGCTCCAACAATCAGCTAACTGAAAAAACACCTATAGTCTCTAGCTGTTTTCTCGCTTACAAAATGTAGAAACAAAATAAATGATATAACTGAGGGAAAGGCGATCATGGTTTGAGGTGAACCTCAGAAAAATATATATGAAGCAA